CTGGCCTAAGTTAGGGGACAAGCCAGGGGAAGGACAGTAGGACTGTCAGCCTGGGCTCCACCTGGCCTTGGGTAAGCTAGGGGAAGGAGAGATAGGGCTGGCCAATTGTGGGTATAGACTACTAGTTAGCTGTCCCCGAAAAATTAACCCTGGGGTCTGTTACAGGGGAGCCTCATTCTACAGGGGTGTTGCATGGTGGGAGGCAGTAGCCCTATTGGGAGTAGGGCAGATTGGGGATTGTCTGAGTCTGGGGCCGGGGTTGGAGAGTTGGTCGCCTTCATCCCCAGCGAGGGCAGACAGGGACAAGGGTTGGGCAAAGGCAGCCTCTAGGAGGGGATTGGTTGCCTTCGCGGATGTGGTGGAGGGAGGGGAGGGGATCTGTTTTATGTTGGGGCCGAGGGATTTTCCTCGGTGGAGGCAGCATGAGACAGGGTACAGTGGGTATGGATTGGTTTGAGCTGTGACCAATGGAAGTGTATCCTTTTCACGATCTAATAAACTCGACGCATCAAAAAAAGCTCTGATAATTTCAATACAGTTCAATACTTCAAAACCAGCCACCTGCTGCTCTACAATCTTGGCAGCACCTGGTCTTCTTCTTTATTTGGGATATAGGAAGTCAGGGATCGTCGAACCTAGACTGATAACTGCTGAAGTTGTTTTGTTCTGTGCTCCTGGATTGCCGATGCCAGAACAACGCTGGCCGGAGCTGGGGCATAGCCCTGTAACCTGTAATTGGCAGGGGCGGTAGGCCTTGTAGAGAGAGCTGGGGTTTGCTGAGGGAGGAAAGCAAGCCAATGGTGAACCAGGAGGAGCTACCTTGACAACCTATGGGGTGGGGTTAGTCTGSGTAGTGAGGAGAGATCAGCTAAGGCAGTGGGGGGATAGGTTTGTCTTGTTCTAGAGTTGCAATATCCTGGTAAGGGAGGGCTTGGTGTTGTTCAGGATTAGGAGTCCAGTATGGCTGACTCAGCATGTGTAGCTACATTTTTTTGTCATCACTGGCATCATTAGTATCATCAGCATCAGAATTTTCTATTCTCAGGTTTTTCTCAGCCGAAGCCGGATAATGGCCCCGGTGTTACAAACTGATGTATGTTCATATGGGATGCTGGGCCCGGTTCCCAGCACGTGCTGCTCCCCACGAATAGAATGGAGTTTCTTTCTGTCAAAAAAAAAAACAAAAAAACAAAAGGGTTGTGGACGTTTCTCTTCTTAACCCGGGGCTCCATTTCACTATCCCGTCAACATAAAACACCGCCACTCCCCCCGACGGCCGAAAACGGCCTTTCCGGAGAGTTAGGGCTGCGTTCGGGGGTAGGCCGACGACCATTGTCGGAGAAACGGACGGCAGAGGATTGATTGATTAGTACATGATTGCCCCAGAAAAGGCCTGGATGGTAGCTGTGGTGATTGCAAACACTCTTGAATGACAGTCTAGAAACCAAAAAAAAGGGAAAGGAAAAGGACACCTCCGAGCCATTCGAGGCATACTGACACTAGTAGGACGTTTTTTTTTTTTTTTTTTTTTTTTTTTTTTTTTTTTTTTTGGAGTATATTCCATAATGGCAAAACGAGGCCGGGAATCCCTCGACATCAACAACCTTCTGGGCCTTTAGATATTAAAAAAATAAAAAATAAAAAAATCAACAACCAGCAAAAAGGGAAGAATAGTTCCCAAGACCGTAGAAGAATTATGAGAACTAAGGCGAACGGGTAGGAGGAGAACCAAGGATGTCCTGTGAAGACCTTCAACCTGGTGGGGGTAAGAGAACCAACCTGCTGGACGTAATTGTAGTCAGTTACATCCAGGACCTGCTGTGATTGCAGTCAGAGACATCGACGCAAGTCCTCGTGTGAGTATGCTGTCATAACAGATTTCAGTGATTTTTTTCATTTTTGTTTTTTGTTACATGCTCCGATCTATTGTTGGGGAGCCGCACCTGCTGGAAACTGGGTCCAGCGTCCCATAATGCATCCAGAGTGTCACATCAAATGTCTGCTTGCCAGCATTGATTGCCCTGACTCGCAGGGGATTAACTGGGCAGGATGCAGGTTGTAAGAGAAAGATTGAGAAGAAAGGAGGCCCCTTCGCCCTGCTGCTCATCTGCGGCTGTTTCTTCTTCTTCTTTTCTTCTTCTTCTTCTTCTTCTTCTTCTTCTTCTCCTCCTTCGGGCATCGCCACACAGCACACGAAACTTAAGACGAAACGAGTGCATCTTCCCACAGAAAATGGCCAGGTTTTATAGGTTTGCTATAAATAGTAATGAGTGTATCTTGTCACCTTTCCTGGGCAGATGCACTCGTTTCTTTTTCGTTTAGTGTGCCCCGTGGAGAGGCCTCTTCTTCTTCTTCTTCTTCTTCTTCTTCTTCTTCTTCTTATTATTATTATTATTATTATTTTCTACCGTTTGATAATAAAAAGTTTCAGATAGAGGTCACAACACTTGACGAGGTGATAAGAGCCCCCTCGTAAAGTGACCCACCTGTAGAAGACCCCATCTATTGGTGGGGAGCCGCACCTGCTGGAAGGGCACCCTTTTTCTGCTCTTGGCTGTCGGTGTCAGCCATTTTGGTCCACTACCTCCAATCCCTTGTAACATCCGGACATATACGTTTGCACTAGCAAGTGGTTTTTTTTTTTTTTTTTTTTTTTTTTTTTTTTTTTTTGTGTGTGTGTGTGTGTGTGTGTGTGAAGCAAGATTTGCCTGAGGCACTTAGTGGTGGTTAAGAAAAAGACAAAAAACAAGAGGACGATGGCGGATGGTCAAATCAAGGCCCGGGCCATTTATGGCGCTGACTGAGTGGAATCAGAGGCCCTTTCTCTTCCTTTTGTTTTTTTTCCCCCAAGGCTTTGCCTGTTGGGCTGCTCCATCTATTAGTGGGGAGCAACACCTGCTGGAAACCGGGTCCAGCGTCCCTTGTCACAGCACTGTGTTTTTCTTGGGACTGTGGCAGTTTCAGCTTCTGATCTGGAGCCCTGTCCTTCCCTCAGGGCTGCATGAGTCACCCTCCTGTTATTTCTCTTTTTTTTTTTGGCTCTTTCATATAATTAAAAAAAAAAAAGCTCTGCCAGTGGTTAAGATACTTGGCTCTTGAGGCCCAGGTCGCCGGTTCGAATCCATGCTTGCACGACTCGGACGAGGACGTCGGCCTCAGGGCTGGGACAAGCGGCGCCATCCTGTAACCTCCGCTGTTGGGGAGCTAGATGTGCAGATCCATGTTGCCGGGTGATCCCGTGTGTGTGGACGGGACGGGAGTACCAGTGGTGAGGAGTTGTCCTGATTGAGTGCATGAATTGCCGTGACTGTGTGGTGTTGTGTGTGGCGTGTGTTGAGTTGAGTTGGACACTACAGCCTTGTGATTCGCTGCAGCTGTCTATTATTACAAAATGCAAAGGATGCCGAGTTGATTCTCTCTCTCTCTCTCTCTCTCTCTCTCTCTCTCTCTCTCTCTCTCTCTCTCTCTCTCTCTC